CAGGTTTCCCTAGTGCACACACCCTCCCTTTAATCAGGCACACATGATGGAAACAGTGGGGTCTCCTCACCCCTGCCAGGCAGATCCCCTGGGAGATGTAAAAGTTGACCAGAGTGTCTTATTTTTTTTTCTCTCAATACTACCCCAGCATTTCTCATAATACATGCCACAAGATTGTGTGTGTGTGTGTGTGTGTGTGTGTGTGTGTGTACACACATTTCGTAAGGTTCAGTAAGTTTGAGAAGTGGTGGACTAAATAAAACTACACAGGTGTCTTTACTGTGGGACTTCTCGAAGCCTTTAATAAGTTACTTGGTATGGCAAATCTTTAAGAGCCAGTCATAATATATGGTCATCCACGAACTCATTATAACTGGCCACAGACCCTTCTCTACCAGAGCACCTCTCAGGACTAGTGTTCTGTAGGATACATGCTGGGGCATGTTGTGTTCCGTGGGTCTTAGGGGCAGCATGTCAGAGTCACTTAAGGAGCTTGTGATTACCAGCCGTCTCCTAAAGATCTTCATACTGACAGTCTGGGCTAGAGTGTGAGAATCTACTTATTGTTGTTTTTTCTTAAAGCTTTCCTGGTTATATTGATGATCCATAGCCCTTGGGTTCCCCTGCTGTAGACTCTTGATATTTAAGGCTTCAGAGATGCTATACCTCTGACCCTCCTGAGCGCTCCCCATGGAAGCTTCTACACTAAATCCCCTTGTAGGTAAATAACACATTCTTATACAATAGAGATGGCTGAAAACTTACCAGGAAAAACACCCAAAGCCTTTATGATTTGGGGGAAATTGCTGGCCTGTATCTATGACTTTAGAAACCACTTTGTAACATTGTAGCCATTATCATCTCATGGAATGCAGCTGCTGTCACAGAAGGGGAGAATTCAGTCTGGTTGTGCGTACCGCCGAGAGTCCAGAGACTTTCCATGTGATATGCAGATGAGGACAGTTTTGAGGAAATTGATTTATAGATCCAATTCCTCTTCCTGATTTCAGTACATACTCTTTTCTACACTTACCTGCCTGACAAACAACATGAGGTCAAGGCAGGGTGGACCTGTCTTCTTTCCGCTATTTTCATCAGAGGCCACAGCCATTAAGAATTGTATCAGGACAGTATATTACCCTGGGTGCAAAACCTCCCTGGTCAGACACAGGGATGATGTGAAACTCTGGGGTTGGCGATGCCTCTTTGAAGCAAGATGCTATAACCTGCCCCCTACCCATCTCATTTGAAGCTGCATTTCCAATAAAAATTTTCCTTTTACATTTAGTATTTGTCAACATTTTAATATTTCATATTGTGTGCTAAAATGAAATAACTCACTCCAGAGGAACTGCTTTGAGGCTTGGAGATTTATGGTTACCAGAATCATCTTTTAATTTAAAATTTCAATTTGTATGCATCCTTTGACTGTAGAGAATTATGATGAATTGATCAAATAAAACACTTTCAAGCATAAAAACATATTAAGTTAAAGTTCTCTGGGTGTCATGGAAAAGAGATAGTTTCAAAGGGAAAAAAAGAACAATGTAACATTTCTAAAGAAGAGCTTGCTCCTGTCACTCTAAAATGGACAATAATGTCCTTTCACTGCCAGTGTTTATGTTATGTTGGACATATTTAAAAGAATGATATAGCAGGCTAATTTTAAATATCACTCATATAGAAATCATGTCTATTAACAAATTATAACTATTTAAACTTAAGGTGAAAAATATGGCTGCCAAGTTAAATATGCAAGGAGGTACGTAGTTTTTCAAAACCCTTAAGGGAATATATGAGCAAAAACGGTGGCAGCCACTGGTCTAGAGAAAAATGTTGGGAATGCTGGCAGGGGAAAGAGCAGCGTTTGGAATCAGGCTCGCAGAGGAGCCTTGGTTAAAATGCCAGCTTCACCCAACAGAGTTAAAACCATGAAGTGTCTGGCACAGAGCCAGCCAGTGCTCCCTTCCTGCCACCAGGACCTGCCAGGTGCCATCAGTGTGTGAGGCACTAGGCATACAGTAGGGCTTCGACACCCGTCCCTGCTCGCACAGAGCTCACATTCTGGTGGACATGCATGTATTTGATCTGCCGCTTCTGTGTGGGTACATGCTTGCTGCATTTCTTTTCTTTTCTTATTTTTAATGTTTATTTATTTTGAGAGGGGAGGAGGGGCAGAGAGAGAGAGAGAGAGAGAGAGAGAGAGAGAGAGAGAATCCCAAGCAGGCTCCAAGCTGCAAGCGCAGAGCCCGACTCAGGGCTCAGTCCCACACCCATGAGATCATGACCTGAGCCGAAATCAAGAGTCGGACACTGAACCAAGTGAGCCACCCAAGCGCCCAAGCTTGCTGCATTTCTAAAGAGTCTCTTACTACTCTTATTCTCAGGCAGCTTTTAGGAGCTGTATCTATAAAGAAATGACTCATTTTTTTTATATTCTAGAAGAGGTCCTTCTAAATTCCATTGTTCCCTTCAGAATAATCACCTGAGGAGGCATACGCTTATTTTAGTGACAGGGCCACTACTCAAAAGTCTTTAAGCCTCTGCTGTGGGATTGACTTCAAAGCATACAGCACAATCTTCTGAACATTCTTAATACTTGTAAATGTTTGTCTTTGTGGGGGGCGCCTGGGTGGCTTAGTCAGTTGAGTGCCTTGACTCTTGGTTTCAGCTCAGGTCATGATCACATGGTCATGGGATTGAGCCCCGAGTCAGGCTCCATGCTGAATGTAGAGCCTGCTTGGGATTCTCTCTCTCCCTCTGCCCTTCCCACCCTCACCAAGTAAATAAATTTTAAAAACATATATTTGTCCTTGGAATACAAATTGGTGTTTTGGGGAACAGGTTATTCACACAAAGGTCTGGTGACCCTAGTAGGTGGTCAGACTGGGTAGGAATATTTTTTATGACAAACTCTAGGAGGGCATAAATCAGGCACTCTGGGCTTTCTCATGGTAAAGAATAGTCAAGAGATGCTGTTTGTTCCCTTTGTACCTAGACTGAAGGAAAAAGCCCACCCACATCAGGGTCACTTGACTGTGAAGTTGCTTGAAGACTCTACGGTTTCAAACTTTAGGGAGAGAGCTTCCTGAGCTGTAGGAAGCCCATGGTACCTACTACCTTACTGCTGATGATCCTGCCACAGCAACCCCACTCCAGGCCATGCCCCTCGGGGCCCGCATCTAGAAGCCTGAGAGCAGACGTAGCTGTCTCGGAAGGACCCAGGACCGAGGGAGCAAGGCTGGGCCAGTCGTGAGGGGGCCATGTGGGTGCAGGAAGTGCACACAAGCCTTGTCTGAATTGTGTCGGAGTGTTTATTGAGTGTCTGTGAGACCTGAGCATTAATCACAGGTATTAATCACTGTCCACTGAGAAAATGAGTCTAGGATGGGCAGAGGGTGTGGAATATGAGATGGGGCGGACAGGCAAAGATTTCAGAACATGGCACGTGTAGCCATCTGTCTGTCCGCTCTGCCTATCGTATCTGTCACTTACATGTGGCCACAGAATGCTGGATAAAATCTCTCTGGATCCTATAAAGGTCCTCAATTCTCAAAGGAAAACTGTTTTTTTAAGTATAAATTTGCACTGTATTTTACTGCTTCCTTATTCTTCTGCAGTGTTTCTCTGTATTTTACTTAGCAGACACCATTTCATCCCTGTGCCCAGAACTGAACTAGGTGCTGTGGGAGACACTGTCTCAGTCCTTAGGCAACTTGAATCTCCTTGGAAGACAGGCATACATACTGCAGAGTAATGGCCAGCGGGTTTCAAACGTCAGCTCTAGCTAATAGGTGACTTCATGGAGTATTTTATCAAATCTAAGACACTGTGAATTGTAAGATGTTGTTTTATGTGCTCTTAAGAAAGAAAAATATGCTGCCAATTAAATTGTGAATGACTGCTTTCTTTTTATTCATAAATTTTATACTTCTTGAAAGATTCTTTTTGGACTTGCTTAGACAAGTGTTATTTTTAACATATATTACTCTTGTTCACTCATGAAGTAGAACATAAGAGAGAAATAAATTGGCTTTGGTTTTTCTAAGCTGCTTCACATTCAGGGTACTGCTCATCTGAAGTATCTTTGACCTGCTGTGGTCAGTGCATGTGTTTCTCATGCAGCGCCCTTCTGTTCCCTATGCCAACGGAGAGTGTTGGAGAGGCAATATTCCTTCGAGTACTCTTGACTTCTCCCAAATCTCTGGCTCCTACTGTGCAAATTGATGCGCATATAATGACAACCACAGCACAAGTGCCACCTGGCAACAGTGACTGTAAGACACATACCAATTTCCAAGATACCGAACATGAAAAAAATACACCATAGACTCAAAAAATAGATTCTGAGACTCCGTCAAAAAGACTGCCATGATCAACTGCCCATGTCTTCCCTGGGAATGGTGTTGGCATCAGTGCTACATTCTTGTCATTAAACAGTAATTTGCACAACTGGTTAGTTCTCTGTGAGCTAATAGGGTCAGGAAGGCGTTATGCATGAAGTAGGTCTAAAAAGGTGCGATTTCAGGTGCCTGGGTGGCTCAGTCAGTTAAGAGTCCAACTTCAGCTCAGGGCCTGATCTCATGGTCCATGAGTTCAAGCCCCACGTCAGGCTCTGTGCTGACAACTCAGAGCCTGGACCCTGCTTCAGATTCTGTGTCTCCCTCGCTCTCTTCCCCTCCCCCACTCACACTCTGTCTCTCTCACTCTCAAAAATAAATATTTAAAAAAAAATTTTTTTAATGTGCTATTTGGCCTGGACAAAAGGAAACCACTTCCAGAGAGGGAAGAGTGCAAGATAGAAGGCTCAAGAGGGTAAATAAGCATGTCATGTGGAGAGGACGGTGGAGGGATCCCAGGCTTTGGTGGGGTTTGATTAGGGAGTTGTGGGGTATAAAAGGCATGAGTCTTTGCCCTAAGAACATATTCATGTGTTTCACTTGTAGAAGACACTAATGGTTCTCATATTTCTATAACTTTTCTTTCTTTCCTTACTATAGGTCCTGATGTTTTTAGTTCAAAGAGCCTTGCCCTTCAAGCTCAGAAGAAGATCCTGAGCAAAATAGCCAGCAAAACTATGGCAAACATGTTGATTGATGACACCAGCAGTGAGATCTTTGATGAGCTCTACAAAGTCACTAAAGAGCACACCCACAGCAAGAAGGAAGCCCACAAGATCATGAAAGACTTGATCAAGGTGGCAATCAAAATTGGAATCCTCTACCGGCACAACCAGTTCAGCCAGGAGGAGGTTGTTATCGTGGAGAAGCTCAGGAAGAAGCTGAACCAGACGGCCATGACGATCGTCAGCTTCTATGAGGTGGAGTACACCTTTGATAGGAACGTGCTCTCCAAGCTTCTGCATGAGTGCAAGGACCTGGTGCATGAACTGGTGCAGCGACACCTGACACCCAGGACCCATGGGCGCATCAACCACGTCTTCAACCACTTTGCCGACGTGGAGTTCCTCTCTACCCTTTATAGTCTGGATGGAGACTGTAGGCCCAACCTCAAGAGAATTTGTGAAGGAATCAATAAATTGCTAGATGAGAAAGTCCTCTGAATGCTTCTCTCCTCCTGGACTTTGCCGAGTTCCAGTTCTAGTACCCAATGTGGTCCAGGTTAGAAAAAAGAAACCCGGAAACCCTTGTCGAAGATGCCCATGTTCTGTCCTATTCGCCCATCTGATATTGATGCCAGATTGCACTCAGGTGTGTTTATCCCCTGAGCTCACTGACGAGGCCTGTTCTTCAGATCACCTTGGCTCGCCAACCCAAAGGACATTTCATTTGTTCTAGGCAGAAGGCTGCTATGCTCCTCAAGGTGAGCTCAGTGCATCTTGGTGGAGTGGAAGGAGCCCTGGACCAGGAGTTGGAGGACGTGGATTTGGTTCCCAGCTTCACCAGTACAACCATCCTCGGGATCCTGGAACCACAATGCCCTCCTGCCTACCTCCCAGGACTGCTGTGAGGTTCAAATGAGACAATGTATGTTCCCGCTTTTAAAAACTCTAACGTAAGCTCTTATTATTTTCTCTCTGGAGTGTGAGAGGGATCAACCTGGATCTAGACTACTAAGCAGAAGAGAAGAAAAGAATAATGGTATCTAGTAGGCCGGGTTTACAGTCTGTCTCTAGATGTGCTGTTTCAAACACAGATGAATACACAGGTGTGAAGAAGTGTAGCTGCAAATTGGAAAAATGTTTTCCAAGAGTTGTGTTTTTTAGGTCTTAGATGTAGGTTTATGATCCTGCGGAGGGAATCTTTCCAGCAGGGTGGGGGTATGGAGAGTTTCTCACTCATAATGCAGGAGCAGGGAAGTGTGTTCCCTGTGGGAGAGGCCTCTCCCTCCCAGGGGCCACCGTGAGGTGTGGGAGGGTTTATCCCAGCAGCACAGGAGAGCTGGGCAGCACGAACCCCTATCCATCTCTCTTGGCCTTTCACAGACACATTGTGCTATTTTCTTTGGTTCGTTAATAAATTGAAACCCTTCAAACAAGAGGTTTTGGAGTTGTGATTCAAAAATAAAATACCTTGGAATTAGATGCAGTGTTAAAAATAATGGAATTGAGGGGCATCTGGGTGGCTCAGTCAGTTAAGTGTCGGACTCTTGATTTTGGCTCAGGTCATGATCCCAGGGTGCTGGGATCGTGCTCCATGTTGGGCTCCATGCTGGGCGTGCAGCCTGCTTAAGATTTTCTCTCTGCCCCTCCCCTGTGTGCACTCACTCGCATAATTGCACACATTCCCTCTCTCTCTCTCTCTCTCTCTCTCTCTCTCTCTCTTTAAAAAGAAGAAGAATGGGATTTAAAGGCAGACAACGAAGAGCAAGAACTCTGCACTCAGACCCTAAGGGGCAGTGTGGGAGGCAGGAAGGGTGAGGGTGCAGGCAGCTGCTCATGGACATGTGACCAACCACCTTCTCTGAGCGTCTCCCAGCCTCACTTTCACACTGTGGCTTCTGACATTTTCATCAATTCTTAACAAATCTCAGGACAGTGTATTTACTGCCTTCTCATGTTGTCTGCAGGACACCACTTTAGGAGACTTGGTCTTCCTGCATCACCTCCCATGCTGCTCTGCTTCTTATACCTGATGATATTATAAAAAGACATTAGCTCAGCCCATGGCTCATCCCATCCAGAGATGGTTTGAGGATGTGAAATGGCATCCTGTGAACCTACAGTGGCCACTCAGCCTCAACTGGCTCCTGTGTCAACATCAGTGCAAACCACCAGTTAAGTTCTTCAGTTACCAGCACTCAAAATTAGCTCATAGGAAGGGTGTTTAGTAGGGAAAAGGGAACAGTTAAGTCAGCCCCCAGCCCCTCCTCACAGACCTGAGGACTGAACCATGATGCCCTGTGCACATGCGGGCTGGGGAGGCCATTGGCCATTCTGGCAATGGAAGCCACCAGTGGCAGGCTCCTTCCTTCCCACCTACCCACTAGGCAGCAAGCAGCCCAGAGATAGCTGAATTTTCACATACAGAGTCTTCAATGCCTGCCTCGGTGCACTCGTCTGATTAAGGACTGCTTTCTAGTTTGAGGGATGGCTCCAGAAGCAAGTTCTTTTTTCACTAAGTAGGTGGACCCACCCAGAGAATTCAGACCCACAAGGAATGCATGGGACTATCTTCTGTTCATCTGAGACACAGCAGGGAAGAAGGCAGGATCAGGTTCTCCTCACTTGGCCGGTCATTAGCACACATTAGTTTCTGACAGTCCACGAGTCCCTAAGGAAACCGAGTCCTCCTTGTTCTCATCAGAGAAGGATCAGCACTTCCACCAGCACGTCTCAGCAAGTGCAAAAGCAGAGTGTAGACCAAAACATGTTCTACTGGCCTAAACCTCCCCACTGAGGCAGCCAAGGGGCTCTCTACTGCAGGACCAGCTGGGTGTATCTCAAAGTTATCAACAGTAGCACAGCAGGGGGGCGGGGGGCTGGGCTACCCAGGCAAAAGTAACCCACAGGCCTCTAAAAATAGCCAAAACCAATCCCATGTGTACATTTTTTTTTCAACGTTTTTTATTTATTTTTGGGACAGAGAGAGACAGAGCATGAATGGGGGAGGGGCAGAGAGAGAGGGAGACACAGAATCGGAAACAGGCTCCAGGCTCCGAGCCATCAGCCCAGAGCCCGACGCGGGGCTCGAACTCACGGACCGCGAGATCGTGACCTGGCTGAAGCCGGACGCTTAACCGACTGCACCACCCAGGCGCCCCCCATGTGTACATTTTAAATATACCACTGGCATATAAACTCAAGTGATTCTCGAGTTTCATCAACCAGCTGAAGGCTTACAAATTTCAGATACTTTACATAACAATCTAGTGACCAAAAAAAGAATCACATTATTAGTTTATCCTGAAGGCTCTACTCACATCACTCTGTGGCCCTGAAAGGCTATTTTGGTTGAAAAGAAAATACAAAGGAGACCAGCAGATGCTAGATGCTTTCAAAAACAGGACCCTGCACATGTGCATTTGTGCTCAGAACTCTATAAAATTTGCAATAATGAGAACCCACAAAGGCAAAGTGAGGATATCTACATTTAGGTGGCACCGAAAAGAAAAAGGATTTCAAGAGAAGCAATAATATAAAATCACTCAATTGATCAAGCCCCACACGAAGTTCAGAGAGCAAAGCCTGGCTCAGCAAATGAAGGGCAGAGACAGCACTCATTCTTTAAGAGGGGAGGGGCGCAGGAGCAGCCTGTCTCAGTTATCTGGAAACATCGCTAGGTCTTCAGCCATCTGTGAGCACTCAGCTCTTTCCCCTGGGAGGACGGCAGACTTACGCTGAAATCCCCAGCCCGCGCCTGGTTACGTGTCCCTCCTCATGCATCTGAGCCCTGCAGAAACACATTTCCTGCCGGCTGCGCCTGCCGTGTGTCTGTGTTGCCCTTCCTCCCTGTGTTTGCATCTGTGAGTCTTGACACCCTCAGCAACTCCAGGTCTCTGCTCAGTGACAAATCAAAATGAAAAGACTTCTCCATCTGTGCTTCTCCTCCAAACTCCCATCTCCCCCATCTGTACATTTTTCAGAAGCAGATCAGTACATTTGCTGGCTGCTCAATGAACTTCTTACATCCATTTACATTTTAAAAAGAGAGAGCACAAATCAGGCCTGCATGCCCTCTGCCCATTATCTTTGGGTTTTTTTGTTTGTTTGTTTGTTTGTTTTTTAATTCAACATGGTCTCAGGTGTCAAGAGCAAAACTGATCGGTGAAAATTCTAGATCAGCCAGTTTTGGCTGTGAAGACATTGCATTAGCAGGAGCTGTCCGTCAATGGACTGGGAGGTTGACAGCAGAGTCATAAATCAGATGGCCTTGGAGGGTGCCCAAGGCCCTCCCAACTCAGAATTGTGTGGCCACTTTCCCTTGTTTAGTCTAACTGTACTGTGGGGGCCACCAACCAGGCCCACCCCCTGCTCATTCTTAGAGGGAGGTCTTTTTTGTTAGGGGGAAGACTCTTCTACAACCCTGTTCCCCAAAATGGCATCTAGGAATCACTGAGAGTTCTGGTTTTGGGGGGGGGCGGGAAGAAGGATTGGTAGCCAGGGAGAGAGAAGAACTCTCCCATGAGTTCTAAAGGGAGTTTGGGATTTCTGTTTCATTCTGACGACTTTATTTTTGAGACAGACAGAGACAGAATGTGAGCAGGGGAGGGCACAGAGAAAGGGAGACAGAATCCAGAGCAGGTTCCAGGCTCTGAGCTGTCAGCACAGAGCCCCAGGCGGAGCTCGAACTCACAAACTGCGATATCATGACCTGAGCCGAAGTCAGATGCTTAACCGACTGAGCCACTCAGGTGCCCCTTCATTCTGACGACTTTAAAAAAAAAAAAAATCAAAATCGATCTAAGTACCTTCTGAATCTTGTGGGTGACGCCACCTAGCCTCAGGGTCTGAGATTTCCTGTATTTACACTTTCATGCTGAATGATCAACTCAAGTGAAATAATCTAACTGAATGTATTTCTTTTTTATTATTTTTTTTAAATATTTATTTATTTTTGAGAGAGAGAGCGTGAGTGGGGAAGGAACAGAGAGAGGGGGGCAGAGGATCTAAAGCAGGCTCTGTGTTGACAGCAGAGAGCCCGACATGGGGCTCAAACTCACAAACTGCGAGATCATGATCTGAGCCAAAATCGGATGCTTAACTGACTGAGCCACCCTGGCGCCCCTAACTGAATATATTCCTGCAACTAGGTGGATCTGTAAGTCTTCAGGGTCCATGGGTTCTCAATTTTGAGAATCATTAGACAACATGTGAGAGTGTAGGCTTGCAGAGAATGAATGTCACATTGCCCTTGATGGTGACTCACAACAGGTGCGGGATGAGCCAAGTGTCTGGGGGACACACAGGCCTGCTGCAGAAAGAGGCGGACTCCCACATGCCCTGCCTGCCCTTTGGAACTGGCCAGCACAGTCTACCACACATAAACCAAAGAACTGACCAGCCCATCCTGGCAATCCTAATCATGAAACTCAGAGGTACAAGAGAGGCCATCACTAGACACACCAGGCACTGCTCCTTCCAAGGAAGGGAACAGAGGGAAAGCCTTGCAGAGAAGAGAAGTCACTTGTGCCCACTCACACGCTATCTCAGTTCCAGATTTACTAGAGTGCAGACTCCCAGGCATCAAGAGTATCTGTGGTTCTGGGTTCCCAGGAGCTAATTCCTTGGCTGAGCTTAAGAACAAGGCACATGGCACTCAGGTACTGGTGGCATCGAATTCCTCCCCACCCAGAAGAAGGAAGAACCAGCCAGAGTAAGCATTCTCTCACACTCCACCCCAGCAAGCCCCTCGGTGCTATCATTTGCCTTCCTTGTCCTTCCTTTGCAGAGCTGGGGCAGGTCTCTACAGAGCAGGGTCCCGGCCACCCACCCAGGCAGCCAGAGTTTGGGCAGCCGGGCCCCCCAGGCCGTGGTATAAAGCTCCTCCTTGCCGACTGCCAAAGCCCTTCTGGACCAGTTCCTAGGACAAGAGAGTCTGGGGTTTGGCTCCCAAGAAGAGGCTGGATGGACGCCAGAGGTTGGCACAGAGCAAATGCTGGACGCTAGCCGGGGAGCGGCAATTCGTTATGTTGTGGAGGGAGAAAAGCACTCTTCCAGGCTCTTTTGGGAGGATCCTGTGGGCTGGTCCCCTCTGTGTGACTGGGATCCTTCCACCTCCTGGAGCTGCGTTTCCCTGAGGAGAGGGTCTTACTGAAGGAAGTGGTGGGATGGGGCTGCCCCCACTTTGTGGTTCAGAAACAACTACAACTCGATTTTAGAACTAGATGGTGGGTTTGGTTTTGGGGAGACAGGTATTTTGGGGGTTGGCTTTCATAGTGCAAAGCGCAGAATATGGGATAAGCCATGAGTCAGAAGGTTTAGTCTCAGTTCACAAGCTTACTTGGTAACTTCCTTGCACTTCACCTCTCTCGGGCCGTAAATGCAGACAGAGTTGCACAAGATCTCCAAGAATCAAGGGGCACCCGGGTGGCTCAGTTG